AAATAATTAAGCAACACTTATGATGACCTAACTAGATTTTCTCTTTCTGAGAAGAAATATGATGAATGTATTTATTTATTCCTTCATTTATGTTTCAAATTATCTTTTCTTTGATAAAAACAATCTCATAATGTGTCACAATACAACTTATATTTGTCAGAATTATATTACTTTTGATATCATGTACAATAGATTCCTATTTTTTCTCACTTTGTTTTCTGTTTACAGGCATTCCTCAGCCCAAGAAATGATGACGCTCACAATTCAGCATGTTGGTTTTCTACATCAACGGATGTAACTGGTGATATTAATACAAATTTAACTGGTGTTTGCACCAATGCAGGGACCCTTGAACACTCAGAATTTCCAAACAGTGAATTCCAACCTTGTCAGGTAATGTTTGGGGCAACACTGTTGCTAGGTTAGGATGCAATCTACATAAAAATACTCTTAGCCAATATTTTGGAGGAAAAACATTCAATCAATTAACATTAACACTAAAATTTTTATTTTTAGAGTCTATAGCATCCTTTGAACATGTTAAGTGGCTGAGAGGGAAAGCAAGAGAGCTAATGATACTATACATTAAATCATATACAGTTTAGAGAAAATATATGAGAGTCAAAGAAAACAAAAAAATTGGGGGAGCTTTTATTTTTGGAATACTGAGTAGGAGACAACACAGCAAGTACATTGGCAGTAAATGACATTTTTATTAAACCTCGCTCAGGCTTACCAAACCTGAAAGTCAAGTCATGTGTTAATGCCCCTAGCCCTAATCTGTGGGTGATCTGTCCTGCTCTGCTTCCCTGTCTGCCTCTGAACCTTTCTTTAGCTCTCCCGGCTCTCACCTCATGTTTCAACCCTGACTTAGAAATTATCTGTACCCTATGTTTTCCACCTTCATTTGGTGCTGGAATCAGATTTCCTATATTTCCAACTGTTTCTTGTTATTGTATTTTCTTCACATTAAGGTCTAATCTCTAAATCTTTCCCTAGGTCAAAATTTGATTTTGACTGAGAGCTGACAATTCTTGGCAGTTGACTTCAATGCCTCTGGACTATACCTTTCCTCTGATTAATCTTATTATGGACACAGTTTGGAGAGATTCTGGCAAGATAAGAGAGGTTAAACTCTTCATGTCAGGAGACAGTGTGGAAGAATACTACAAAAATCAATTATGGACTGCATTCCTTATTACTAATTTTCTCAACAACATTTTGAGGTAGATTTTATTCCCACTTTTGATATAAGGCAAGTTGAGAATTAGACAAGTTAAGAAACATGTTCAGAATATCACTAGTAAAGGATAGTCAAGACTCTCTGATCCCAAGACTTAAATGTTTTACACTATGCAACATTTTCTCTCACAAAACACTAGTAAATAATACAATTATTGACATAGTACTTTAGACTTTGTAAAGTAATGTCATTCACATTAATCCTTAATCTAATCTTATCACAGACTTTTATGGATGAAAGAATAAGGATCAAAGAGGTAAGCATCTTACCCAGTGAAAATAGCTGGTAGTGGCAGAGCTGGATTACAGCAAATGTCTTCAGACTGCAAATTTTATGCTGCCAAATACTAGCCTGTAAGATAGGGTAGGTAGAAAATTTGATAAGCCATTAGTTAATGCAGTTAAAATGGAAGGCTCCAGAGCAGCCAATTGAAGGGTGGAATCTGTGTGGAAGTGGACAAGCCTGAAAGGAAGAAAAATTTTCAAGGTCTTGCAAATCACTGTAAGCATCCACACATGTACAGATACTTTTCTCAAAGATGGGTGGTATAAAGAGTGCCTAACAAGAAATTTATTATATTTTTAATTTGAAAGATATAGAGATATGACTGAGAAAGCATGAGAGGTCAGTGAAAATTTCTTTGTTCTAATATTAAGGAAAACACAAGGGCAAGATCTTTTCTAATGAAACTAAAATTTGAGTCTAACATTTGTCATTTAAGGGGTATTATGATAGTTTTTATGTTTATACATTCATTGAATGAAGTAGTGTACTTCAAAATCTACTGCAAAGACATACTAATCAAAACAGGATGGTACTGCCATTAAAAAAATGACACAGAGACCAAGTGAACAGAATGTAGAGCTCAGAAATAAATCCATGCATTTACAGTCAATCGATTTCCACGAAGCTGCCAAGAGCACACAATAGAGAAAGGACAGTCTTTTTAAGAAATGATGCTAAGAAAACTGAATATCTACATGAAGAAGAATAAAATTGATCTCAACTCACACCACATACAAAAATTAACTTTAAATGGTTAAAGGCTTAGATGTATGACCTGACACTGTAAAACTACTAGAAGAAAATATAATATAAAAGGCTGATCAATGGCATTAATATTCCATAAACATTGATTTTTATATTTAGTAATTTTATTTAAATTCTTTCCAGGAGACACGAAATTTCTTCAGTGACTGGTCTCTGTGGAAAATTTTTCTGGCTTGTCTTTTAGCATGTGTGATAACAACAGCAATCGGAGTACTCGTAATGTCCCTGGTATATAACGGGAAAAATAATAATGCCCCCATTGTAATCCAACTTCCTCAAAGCCATGGAACATCGCCCTCAACTACTATGGAAACATCATCATCTGCAAGTTCTGAAAGTACACTTACCACTACTACAACTTCTGAAAGTACTTCAACAGAACAAACCAGTACAATGACCACCATTAACACTTCAACTGAAACTACAATCACACCAGCTACCACTTCAGCTGAATCAACAACCACACTAAATGTAGGCACTACCACAGAGGGTACAACCACAACAACAACCACAAGCACTTCTACAGAACCCACGACGACAACCACAGCCAGCGGAACAACGGAAACAACCTCCCAAACAAGTGCGAGCACATCCAATGAGGCTACAACCACCACAGCCACTGCCAGCAATTCTACTGAACCATCAAGCACATCAGCCAGCACTACAACAGAATCGACCACCCCAACAAGTGCAGCCACATCCACTGAGGCTACAACCACCACAGCCACGACTAGCACTTCTACTGAACCCACAACCACAACCGTAGCCATCACTACCACAGAAACAACCTCCCAAACAAGTGTGAGCACATCCACTGAGGCTACAGCCACCACAGCCACTGTAAGCACTTCTACAGAACCATCAACCACAGCATCAGCCAGCACTACAACAGAATCGACCACCCCAACAAGTGCAGCCACATCCACTGAGGCTACAACCACCACAGCCACGACTAGCACTTCTACTGAACCCACAGCCACAACCACAGCCAGCACTACAGCAGAAACAACCTCACAAACAAGTGCAGGCACATCCACTGAGGCTACAACCACCACAGCCATGACTAGCACTTCTACAGAATCCCTGACTACAACCATAGCCAGCACTACCACAGAAACAACCTCCCAAACAAGTGCAGGCACATCCACTGAAGCTACAGCCACTACAGCCACTGCAAGCACTTCTA